TGGAGAAGGACCCGGCTACCCAATATTTGGTCGACCTTATCAAGCAGGGTAAAACTCGACAGTTCTGGCTAGATGGAAAACTATTGAAGACAAAGGGAGACCGCCTATATGTTCCTCAGGGTGGAGATCTGAGGAAATCACTAATCACGGAATGCCATGACACAATTTGGGCGGGGCATCCTGGAGAGGAACGCACTTGTGCACTACTACAACGTGCATACTACTGGCCTCAAATGCGGGACGACATTGCAACATATGTAAAAACTTGTCTTATTTGTCAACAAGATAAGGCAGATCATCAGAAAAATGCGGGCTTGCTGGAGCCTGTATCGATGGACTACATTATTGGGTTGCCAAAAGTTGAGGATTTTGGCACTATCATTGTCGTGGTGGACCGTCTATCAAAATATGCAACTTTCATTGCAGCGCCTAAGTATGTATCTGCGGAAGAGACAGCTCAACTCTTCTTCAAACATATTGTCAAATACTGGGGGCTGCCTAAGGACATCGTCAGTGATCGAGATCCTCGTTTCACTGGCATATTTTGGACTGAGTTGTTCAAACTTCTTGGTTCAACTTTGAGCATGAGTTCCAGTTTTCACCCACAATCTGACGGACAGACGGAGCGCTTCAATTCTATGCTAGAAGAATATCTTCGGCACTTTATCTCTACTTCGCAGAAAAACTGGGTAAAACTTTTGGATGCGGCCCAAATTTGCTTCAATGCCCAAAAGAGCTCTTCCACCAATAAGAGTCCTTTTGAGATTGTTACTGGCCAGCAACCGCTACTCCCTCATACAGTGGATATTGAACGAAGTACCAAGTCCCCTCAAGCAAAGAACTTTTCTCAAGAGTGAAAACAAAATATTGAAATTGCTCGGAGTTATCTTGAAAAAGCTCAAAAACGGTATAAAAAGGCTGCAGATCTAAAGCGCCGTTTTATTGAATTCAATGTTGGAGATATGGTAATGGTTAAGCTTCCCGACAGAAATGTTTACAAACCAACAAGAGGGAAGAACTCAAGATTGTCACCAAAATACATTGGACCATTACCCATTGTGAAGAGGATTGGAAGAGTTGCATACAGAGTTGAACTCCCTTCATGGTGTAAAATCCACAAGGTCCTTCATGTTAGTGTGTTGAAGCCATACTTTTCGGATAAGGAGGACGCATCTAGAAATGAGCCAAAGCGACCTGTATTTGAATTGAAGAAGGCTGGAAAGAAAGTTGCTGAAGCTATTCTTGACCATCGAATGACTCGGGCTTCTAGAAAAGATCATCAGGAGTACTTGGTCAAATGGATGGGATACAGCAGCGAGGAGAATACTTGGGAAAGAGAAAAAGATCTCGGGGCCTTCAAATCATTAATTGAAGCGTATCATGCATTGATGGCACCGAGGACGTCGCCAAAACAAATGGGGGAGAATGTCAAGGACCGCAGCTTCACTTAGCCCCTTGACACTATCGCAGCCGCAGTTTGCCCAACTTCGGCCGCACATTGTAAATATTACTTCAAGTTTGAGTTGTAATTTTCGTTTCATTGTAATAGTTATTTTAATTGTAAAATAGCTCTGATATTGGTAAAAGATTAGTATGATTCCTCGTCTTTTAAACGTCTACTCCCGTCACTTGGGTTTTTGTTCAGAATGCTATTATAGGGGGTATTAGTCATTCAAAAATCTTTCAAGCTCACTGGTGTCCGCCCCCTGCACCAGCATTTGTAATTTTCTGCTTTCATCAATTGTAATGTTCAGTTTTCAGCAATCAATGTTCAATTTACTTTCAATGTATTCAAATTCTCAATTGTAAGTTTTCTACAAAATTGCAATCAAATTTTCTTTCGTCCCGACGCGACCAAGAAGAGGCGGAAGGTAGTCTAGCGGAGCAGACTACTGCCGCACGGTGTCCCTTTATGTGCCAAGAAGAAAGGCACCCCGTGAAACATGGAGATGGTGTATTGATACTGTTCAATGCTATACCCCCTAGGAATTGACCAACTAGTCTTCCTTATGACTCGGAAAGACTAGAGTGTAAAAGTCCATAATCGTCCACACTATTATATTATGTTATATATATTTATTTGCATGGTAGATGTATAATAAAATATATATTATTGTTATGATGAGACCATTGAAAGCAAAATCCCTCCATAAAATAGTAAATCACATTTATAATCGCCTTCTATCATTATAGTGAAAAACCAGAGTTCCAAATCGTCTCAGCTTGTTGAGTACACTCAAGGCTGGTCCATTAGGGATATGTTTGACACTATGAAATATTTGATATTTCTGAATGACGGGTTTGACTTAACTAAAATTTATCTTTTGTTGAGTACACTCAAGGAGATAAATTTTAGAGGCATATTAAGCTAACACATAAGATGTGTGAAAACAAAGAGCTGCCAGCTTAATGATCTGGGAGTTGTATGGAGATATAATTGATAATAGTATATACCCAAAAGTTATATTAAGGCTTGTTGAGTATTCTCAAGGTCTTAATATAATAGATGGGATCCCAACCCACTGGGAGTCAAGTATGGACTCCATAAATTTATGTAAGAGGGTCATAAATTTTAATTAAACAATGGGAGCATAATTAATTTAATAAAAGTCCATGTTAAATTAATTGATGCATTTTATATATTATTCTTTTCCTTTTCGTCATTTACATTTATATTGAATCCTGAGTAACCATATGTTTTAAATGGCATACTGGATGCCAACAACTAAACTGAATCTTCTTGATTGGCATTGTAATTTCAGAATTGTTCTCAAGCATGAGAAAGTTGGTTGTCCTTAAGTAGCCATTTTTCGGAGACACCTGGTGATGACTCGATTAAGGAAAGGTGGCTGCTATAATAAATGCAGTGATGATAATATTACTGTAACGTATATGATATCTGCAACTATGTCACCTGAGTTACAAAAACAACTTGAGAGTATAGATATTAACACATAATTCTTCATTACAAAAAGTTATATGATTATCATGTGTGAAAGGATATGAGACTTTCAAACAACTATATCGATGCAAAGTGACAAAAGAATCTTCAGTCAATCCTCATGTATTGAAGATGATTGACATGAGAAGTGTCTCAATTGAGTTCAATCATTAACTATGAACTAAGTATTGACTTAGCTCTGCAATCTCTGTCATAGAGTTATTCATAATAATTATGAATTATGATATGAATAAGCTTGAATGCATACTCATTAAGTTGCTTAACATGCTTAGGACTGTTAAGCCCTTTATCAAAATTGGTAATGGGCAAACCATTGATTCCTCTAAGAGTGTTAAGACGAAATCTAAAGGGACTTTAAGAAAGCATTCAATATGGTTAAAATAATCTGAGCAAAGGACAATATCAAATCTAATGACCCTTGTCTTTGTTATAGAATGAAAGGTCATTGGAAGAAATATTGCAAGGCTTATGTCTATTTCATTAACTTCTCAGGTATTAGATACCAGATATGGATCTCATATTTATACAAATATGGAGAAACTAAATGGGGGTAGACCACTGTAAGAGGGAGACGTTAACCTACACGTTGAAGATAAACAAAGGTTGCTGCATTGCCAATACAGGCATACTTCTTGTCGTTTCCTTTTGGCTTAATAATGGAATTGGAGAAATGTTGCTTTGTACCCACCATAGCTGGAACATTAAAATGAATTTCATATTCAGACATGAACTATTTTAATAATAAGGACAATTTTTTGTTCCTGCTTATTTTGATTAAGATCTTAAAAGTTATGGTAAGTCACAAAATAACATTTATATTCTAAATACTAAAGATTCTATAATAAGTATAGAAATTATAAGGCATAAATGCGATAATCTAATTATTACTTAAATTTCGCATGGTGGACTTTGTCATATAGATGAAATGCAATTCCAAAGTTACATAGAGATGTATACTTGGGATTAATTGATTTTGACAAGTACAAATTATGCATGTCTGGCACAATGACCAAATCTTTTTTTACTTGAAAAGAAGAAAGGTCAGCATAATTACTGGTCTAATGTATAGTGATGCATATGGACTCGTGTCAATTGCAGGTGATGTTTCTCTTACTTCATCAATGATCATGTATACTTGATGAAAACTCAAACATGAAACTCTTGAAAAGTTCAAGGGATTTAAACTAGAAGTAAAGAAACAAATAGGTAAAAATACCCCCACATTAAGATTAGATCGAGTGAGAATATCTTAAAAATGAAATTTAGATTATCTAAGAGATAATGAGATTATCTTGCAGTGGACTCCTCCATATACACTGCAGCATAGTGGTGTATCTAAAAGGAGGAATCGTTAATTATAAGATATAATGCGATTAATAACAAGCCATGCAAATCTCCCAAAATTGTTTTGGGATCATGCATTGATTGCAGTGTGCAACACACTAAATCATGTCACATCTAAGTTGGTTAACAAAAATCCATACGAGTTATGGAAAAGCAGTTGTCCCAATTTATCTCATATGAAAGTTTGGGGGCCTTGACGCTTATTTGAAGCGCCTTGAATTGGATAAGTTTGACACTAAATCTGATAAATACGTATTTGTGGGGATATTCAAAACAGACATTTGAATATAAATTCTATTGTCATGAAGAAAGTTTTCGTCTCCAGACACGTCGTCTTTTTAGAGAAAATGTTTACTCTAGGGGAGGACAATGGGAGCAAAATAGAACTTGAAAGAGTTCAAGAGTCCACAGATATAGTTAACCAAGTAGATAAATTTGAGTTTGATCCCATAATCTGATATGGGACATACTCTTGATCATGAAGTAAAGACTCCTGAGGACATATCAGCTCTATGTGAATCTAGTAGGATCATTCGACCTTCAAGAAGGTGTGAATCCATGATTACTAATCAGGTATTACTGATCCAGGAT